GGTCATGATCCTGGAGTCCCTGGATCGAGTCCCACATCGGGCTCCCTGCTCGGCGGGGAGTCTGCTTCTCCCTCTGACCCTCCCCCCTCTCATGTACTCGCTCTCTCTCATTCTCTCTCTCTCAAATAAATAAATAAAATCTTTAAAAAGAAAATACCCATATCATTCAGATCAGAATAAAGTTTACAAAGAAAGAGGTTGGCATTCCTCGTGCCTGGAAATACTATGTTGGTCATATAGCAGGAGATTACACCTTTGGAAAATTTTATGGGTCTGGATCTCTTTTTTTTCTCGGGCTACGGTAATAAAACAGGCTCCTACTGCCCATCCTCAGGAGCAACCAGTTCTGTGTATAACTTAGATTGGTTTTCCTTCTCCCTACAGTATCACTGGGTTTATTTTTAATTCCTTGTTTTTGTTTTTGTTTTTCCAGTTCCGTGACCATCAGTCTGTGGCCTGCCCCTTCTCTTTATGTAAGTAAAAGTGGTTTCTTTACTTTTCAAGAAGGCGTCGTATTTGGGAAATTCGGATCTTTATTGGCATGTTTTCTCGTTGACTTTGTTGTGGTTTCCAGCACTTCTTCACTATATATTAGCTTCCTTTGGGTTTGGAATCGGTGCTATTCGTGGTGGTGGTAGTTGCCATCCGTGAGGGGGCTGAAAAGACCGGGGCCTCAGGCATTGGACGTCTATAAAGACTGCCTTTTACTCAGCCGCAGCTGCTGTTTGCAGAAGTCACTGCTCCTCTCCACTAGAGCTTACATGCTTCAGCCAGATATCCGCAACAGTCAGGCTTTTGCTCCACTGTCAGTCAGTGGGTAATTATTTATTCTTCAGTTATACCCCCATCTCTAGGTCCAATAGTTTTTAATTTGAACTTCTGGGTCAGAGCTTTCATTTATGGACGAAATCTCCAATACTCTTTTACTCAAGAAGTACAAGCGTGAACTATAAGGCTTGATCCATTTAGGCTAAAATTGTGCCTGTCATCGCAAGTCCAGGAAAAAAAAAAGAGAGAGAGAGAGAGAAATCTGGGATTATGTGTGCCAAGAGGGCTATAGAAGGTACCGTCCTTTTTTAGAAAAGATGGGAAGTCATTTGAAAAGGGAGAAAAAAAAAAAGAGGAAACTTGATTTCAGATGAAAAGAGAGAATATTTGTTCTTTAAAGCCCAAACCAGGCTGCATGGAATGGGTTGGGTAAGTTTTACCGCGGGCTGCTTGTAAGAGATTCTACAGCAATGAACCCAAATAATCTTAGTCACTCAACTACATGAGACACCGCCCGAGACATGCTACAGGTAGGGGCAGTCACCTTATGTGATAAATAATCATCAGCATCTTCCCAGCTGCTTTGAGCTCTCTGGTGAACGCTGTCCCTTATTCGCAGCATCTGTCTTACTTCACTGACTTCTCACTCTGAGGTATTTCTTGTGTGGTAATCATTTGCACAGAAAGGGGGTTCCCTGGCTTGCCTGCATGAGTGTGGCTTCCACTAACATTCCTAGAAGATAGTTGCAAATACATTCAGGAGAGCAGAATCCCCCAAAGGACAGACCATAAGGCTAAAGTCCAAAGTGACAGCCATTTGACAGAGAAGGGAGATTGGTGAAACTCCCCAAAGACGACGGGGACTGTGTGTAATGCATTTATACAGCAGGGGTGGATCCTCCCTGCCCCTGACAAGTCTTGTTATTCCTTATTCTCTGTGTTGATAGATCAGGTCTGTCAATGCTTTGGAGGGTGTCAGTGTGCATGCTTATGGTTACCACTTTATGTTTCCACATCCCTACTTCAGTTACCTAGCACTGCATATTTCTAGTCCTCCGACTGGCAAATCATTTTCGTTACAGTTCTTTTGTGTAAAAACAGTTCACATAATAGCTCCGTGTTAGACAAGGCATTAATCCTCACATCACCAGGGATGAGTCAGCACAGTGCACTCCTGCCCGCACGGCTCAGCTATTATGACGTCAGCACTGTAGGGCAAGCCTCAGACACAAGCAATACAGGGGACTGGAGACCTGTGTCACAGATTAGAAATCGAGGGGGAGACCTTTGAGATAAAAATGTAATTGAAAGGCTGTTTCTGGCTCATAGGAAAATGTGAAACTGATTCTATGCTACCTCAACCGTTAATCAGGCAGCTTCTAGAGAGATCCTAGTTTTTAACCAGAGACAGGGCTGAGAGAATGACCTGTAATGGGCTGACAGCTCATTCCTATACCCACTAGCCTTGTCCCACCCCCAGGCCAGGCTTCATGCTTGCTTGGGTTGTTCCAAACCCTGAGGCTGCTTTTATTTCAAGGGTGACATGGCCTGTGACAGTCCTGCTGTCCTCAAGTACCCCACAGACATAGCTGATGGCTCCAGGGGTGGTGCCCCAGATACCTATCAAAGGGAAAAGAAAAGTTTCTTGGGAACAGATCAGAACATTATCTCCCCAGTGTTTCTAGCTCCTAGTACCTCTTCAGTGGCCTTCTCCAGACAGGTGCAGAATTCTGCCTTCTCTCCCTGGCCCTGCATTTAGTCCAAAGTCCCAATCTGGATTTGACACAGATTTCAGTAGGAACTGAATAGCTTCCAAATGTTCCCCCCAAGAGTTTTCCATCCCATTACTCTTTAGCAGAAACAAAGAAGAGCCCTCTGTAGCCTGCCCCACTGCCTTAAAGCAGGTAGCACAGACTTAGCCTGTTTGAGAAACCAAGTTATTACAAATTAGACCTCTTTACAGTTCAGGCTCAGATTCTTTTTCAGAACAATACCTTTCAGTATTGAAAACTCAGTATTGAAAAAGCTGAAAATTCATTGCCTCAGTGACATTCTCTGCTAACAAGACATTCCTCCATCACACCCTCTATCCCTCACTCTTCCTTTCACCCCGTGATAACCGTCAGAAAGTGCCTTACTGCTGCGATCTTCTGCCTTCATTAGATTGCTAATAGGCTCCATGCTTAGCTTATAGAAGCTAATGCTACTGCTTGGCTTAGTTTTGATTAATACCATGCACAGCTCTTTATTCAGTTTTCAGTCAACAAACATTCATGGAAAGCTAGTCACTATGCTTGGTTCCTGGAACTCCAAGATAAATAAGAAATGCTCCCTGTTGCTAAGAATCTCACAGTCTGGTAGGGATGATAAATAGTAAATAAAGGCCGTGGCATATGATGGACCCTGGAATGGAGGCATAAACAAGATATAGCAAGAGGAACAAGAAAGGAGTGCCCACCTGCAAGCTGGGTCTAAAACTCTACAGAACGAACTGCAGTTTACCAAGTCAATGTAGGGGAAAGGAAAGAAAAGGGGATCATGGTATGAAAAAAAGAAAGAGCCTTTTCAAAGCCAAGAGGTGTCAAGCAGCAGCCAGCTCCGGAGGACAGTAGTTCAGTGTGGCTGGAGCATGGTGGTTGCAAGGGGAGCCTGGGAGATGAGGCTGGAAAGTGGGGAGGGGGCAGATTGTGGAGGGTCTTGGAAGCTGTGCGAGGGAGTTTGGATGTTGATGCGGCAGGCTTGAGGAGGCTTTGAAGAATTTTAAGCAGATTTATGTTTTAGAAAAAGAGCACTCTGGCCAGTAGAAATGGATGACTGAAAAAAGGGAGACCAGGTCAAAGGGAAAAACCAAGGGCCTGGACTGTGGGGGGATGGGCGTGGAGAGGACAGGCTCTCTGGTAGTGCTGACGTAGACACGGCCATCTGCGTGATGCTGGCATGTCTTGGCCTAGTGCACAATGCTTGCCTTCTAGGAGAAAGGTTGATGTGTTGTGTAGGGCCACATTTCAAACCAAAGCACTCTTTACAGGGGTTTACAGGAGACCAGAATTTGAACTTGACCTCACTTTGAGCTGCTGCCTGCTGGTCTCCAGAGAGGTGTGACTCCTTCTCCCACAGTAGATTTGGGGGGAGCGTCAGGCAGATAAGGAAGAAGCTATTTCCAGTGTCCTGCTTTTCATTTCTTTCACCTGAAATCAAAATATTTCTTAATAATATCCCCCTAAAGTCAAGCAATACCCAATTTCCTATCATCTTCCTATGCTGTCTTTTTCTAAGAAGTTCCAAGCCATTGAGCTGAATGGCAACGTATATACTGCTGGTGTTGAAACAGTTCAGTATGTCTCTTACTTCTTTCTGAATTAGAGTTCACCATAAATGTGCTTTTCTCTTGTTCACTCTGGGCTGCCAGGACCATTTAAAGGAAATTTTCAACAGCTTATGTTTCATGGACCATGTCCTCTTTTGCAAATGGGAGGGTATGTGTGGGTATGTTTAAGTCTTCTCTATATTGCTTTCTGGAGAAAGGTTTGAGAAGATGAACAAGATGAGGAGTAGAGACCTATTGAAAGCCCAGGTCCCCCCAGTGACCTGAATGCAGACTGTAGGCTGGTGATCAGATGGTCAATTATGTGTTTGTCAAAACATAGTGGGCTGCATTCCAGACTGCCAGCTTTGGAAGCCCAGCTTCTGCCAACCAAATGTCATCTGGGAACATGCAACACTGGGCACTGTGAAGGAGTTTGAAATAGACCATGCCACAGCCAACCTACTGCCAGTCTTATAGCACCAATATGGCATGCACAGCCGGGCCCCATGTTTCAGAGCTCAGGAATTCACTGTACTAAATTCAAGAGGTCAGATGGGTTCATGTTTTCAAAGCCCCTGTTCTCTGCTTTGAACATTGTGATTTGCTCCTCAGTGATTTCCAAGTGACTTTTCTAGTCGCATCTCTGTGGAAACCACCCTTTTTGTGATAGTTATGAGAGCCTTGTAGAAGTCCCAGAGGAAAGAAAAAAAATAAACTCGCTCTGACAATGACTGTGATTCCAACAGAGGGATTCCAACTCTTAGGAAATTACATTAAAGGTGCATAGCTTTTAAAATATCAGGAACCACCTTGGCAACTTATAAAAAGCAGAAGGGCTTTGCCTATTTTATAAAGTGATTTGCATATACCTGCATAAATAATGTCCCCACCTGTACTTTTATGCATTTAGGTTGAATAAATTAAATTCAGTGATCTTTGAAATACTCACTGTCTTTCATTGCTCAGATACCATTTTCAGGACCCTTCCTTCTAATTTTTTTCTTGTGGTAGTAGTGGCTATTTTTTTTCAATCTTTTGACTAATTCAGAGAATCAAAACACTCTGCAGACCAGTCTACCACACCTAAGAACATTACCTCCCTCTACTTGCATTTCTCTTAGCCTTTCTGCCTATCAGACCATGTGTTCCATATGCTTTTCATAAAGGAAAATGGGGGAATATATTACCAGGATGAAAACTCAGCACATAATAGGATTAAGCTTCACTACCTGTCTGTATCCAGACTGTGCTTGTACACAGCTCAGGGACATACTCATCGTAACCTTTTTGTCCACCCTTTGGCCTCTGCCACCACCCCTTCAGAAACCATCCAGCCACTAAACCATATTAATTGTAACTTGATCCTTCAAATCACAGCCTGGTCAGTGGGCTGTGTAA